TCTATTCCTCTAGTCTTATTTTTTGATGAGTATCAAGTGAACAAAAATACAATATGTTTCCTTATAAAATATATATAATTATAACATAATAAAAAGATTTTGACATATATACGTATATATATACATATATATATATATATATATATATATATATATATATATATATATATATATATATATATATATCTTTTATTGATTATGGAAAATGATAAACGAAAATATGTTTCTCTGTGAACAAAGAAAGGACAATTAAAGTTTATTATTTACACTGTTAAATTTTATTTCTATTATATTATGAATCTTCTTCTAGCTCTCGTGTTGTTTTTCTCTTCTATGTTATATTTCATACTGCTCGTTTCTCTTCCAAATCTTAATGACTCGATTTGTAGGTCACAAAAGAAATTGTAAATAATAAAGGACAATGGAAGGGCGGGCTATGAGACGCGTGACAAATCTACCTGAAGAAAGTATACTTTCTTTACATATATATATCAATACTTGGTTTTATCTATTTGATAAAAAATATAATTTTCATTTATTTTCCAAATTAATATTTTATCTCGTATTTATTTCACATGTAAATACATAAGTATAATGATGTAATATATTTATATTATCTATCTCTCTTTCTCCCACCTTCTTTCTCTCTCTCTCTTTCTCTCTATCTCTCTCTTCCACTCTTGTATCATTAGTAAAACTTAGATTTAGCATAGCGGATCAATGATTGTTCTATCCAACTTTTAAAATGCAATCCTCCGATTGTATATTATTTCTTCATTCTGCTAAATGAGTATAAAATTTTCAAGATAGGAGAGAATCCATTATTGTCAGGAGAGCATAACGATCGAGAGCAATTTGCGGAGAGCAAGAATATAAAAATTGTTTTTTTTCATGCGAATCTCAGCGAGAAGATAGCGAGAGATGACGGCAAGAAGTGTAAGATGGAGGAGGACGTGGAGAATGTAAGGAAGATTATGAATAGACGAGAAAACTACTAACGCCATCAGATGATCGTGAAGCCATTGTGAATCTCTGTTTCGACGAATATAGAAGAAGTTGAGTAGATAGAGAGTATGAAGAAGAGAAACAGAGATAGAGACAAATAGAGAAACGACTGTGGAGGAGGAGGAGAAGGTGGAAGAGTATGATAAAGAACGGCGAAAAGAGGAGTGAAGTATAGTGATGAGGAGTGAAGGGGAAAGGAGTGGAGAAGAGAGAAGAGGAGATTAGGTAGGTAACAAGTTGAGAGTGGGAGTAGACCAGCTGAAACTAAGAAAAGAGAGATAGAGTAAGGAGTGATAGAAAAGATGGTGAGTAAGGAAAGATATAATGAAAAAGGGAAGGGGCGTGATCAGAAGTACTGGGCGAGTCATGAATAAAGTAACAGACGAAACGAACGAAATAGTAGCCAAGCTATTCTATGACTTTCCGGAACGTCAGCATTTCATTTTTTCCCACCTCATTATCCTTCTACTTTTGCACGTCCTCGTGCTTTTTCGCGAATCCAACCACGCGATCTTATATTCCAATTCTCTCTGTTATATTCGTCATTTATCGATTCTCCACTTCACATTCGGATTTCTCTCGGACCTCCTTCAAGACCTCACTCTCCTCCAAACCATTACGTATCCTTCCTATCTTATGATATTGGATAAATCAATAAAAATACTTTCGCTCTATGATATTAGTAGGAACTTTACGACATTGTTAGAGAGTTTGGTCGGCAATTTGAAGCGCCATTTCTTTCTTTCGTCGTTGAAAGCGCCGAGGAGAGATTTCTCTTTCTCTTCCTTTCCCTCACTTTGTGCCACTACTATTTTGTTCATGTATAACCGGTTTACGAAGGCAACTTCACCGTTGCTACGTTACTTTCATAATTAAGTTTCGAATTACGATTTTGGCTTACACGATCAGTTCCACTACAAAGTTACCACAAGGTATGTAAATTCTTTGACAGAACGTTGAGACAGAAAAGAAAGGAGAGAGAGAGAGAGAGAGAGAGAAAGAGATACAGGATGGATGAACGAAATAGACCAATCTCAATTTAGCATCGTCTTTTTTAAAAATGGACTAGATAAGAAGACTATAAAATATTCAAACTGAAACTTTCAATTCGTTCGTTATTGTTATTTAAGATTTTCAATATAAAAAAGAAGATAAGTAAATAAAAATAAAACAGATAAACAAAACACACAGACAGAAATAAAATTCAAGTACGTGGGTGATTTCATGATGATCGTTATTACCTTTTATCACGCGTCTGCTTGCTTCTGGCCAGTTCTATCTGCTTTTATCCATATCGATCACTCTCCATCACACTCTTTCTTACTTCCTCCACACTCACTGTCTATCTCTTTCACCAATTCACTTGTTTTCCTGAAAAACTAAATTATCCCATTCTTTCTCACTCTCTCACACACACTTTAAACACATCCACTGCACCAATAGCATATTGCCGTAGTTGATCCTTCGCACTGTTTATATTGTTACGAACGAGTCATCTTGAGATCACGTATTTACTTTTCCCTTCTAAGTCCTATTTGTACATATATAATTTCACTTTTATATTTCACTGATATTTATATTAAAACATATATATAAATATATATATATATACATTATATATATTTGTAAAAACGTATGTGTATGATATTTTTCGTAAACCTACCTGGAAAAAACAAACGAACTAACTCGGATTACTTACTTTTGGTTCATTAGAATTTTCTTGATAAAGATACTACAATTAAGATAATAACTCTTTACTCTGTGCCGCACTTCTCGTTACTTTTCGTACTCAGGACTTTTTAGTTATTCTTCGTTTGGTCTACTCAAGACTACCTTCCGTAGTTTTTTCTTCACGTACACCCCATGGCGTTTTTCATCTCTACTCATATTCGTACATATCCATTCGGTAATCTTTTACACTCTCTTTCCTATTGGTAAGTTCGTTGCCTACGACGACCTTCCTACACTTGTGTGGGATTCCTACACACCGTGTTATTTACACATTCTAGATTTTATTCCTTTCTCTTCTTCCATAAACAAACGCCCAACCTACACAAATTAAAGATCACTTTGTAGATCACTTTGCCTACACACACACACACACACACACACACATACACGACTCTGATATAAAGGCCAACGGTAATTACATTACTCTGTTGATACACGGTATTATAGATTGCTATATTAATTTCTTGTCGGTAATTCATACTGCTTTTTCTAGGATATTGTAAATTTTTTGGCTCAATAGAATAATGGATAGCTATAACATAATAAGCTAATGGATAAATTCTGAAATAAATACAGATAGACAGAGTGTGAGAGAGACACATGAGATATGTAAAGCAGTGAGGTAAGAAGTAAATTGTAGTGAAAGTTGTTCATTCAAGTCTGTTTGTTTTGCAGAGTAATAATCGACCAATTATGTAAAAATAAACTTTATGTGCAATATCACTCGCTCATTTTTTGATTTGATATGAGATTTACTGTTCATTTTCGTGTAATAATCAATTTTATTGAATGAAAATATAATGATGTCTCGATGATAGCATACTTTGGAATATTACAAAATTATTATTTACTTTTTATTTATTTGATTAAATGAAAAATATAATATATTATTTATGATTAATACTTTCGAATACTATTCTTTTTAATGTGCTACTTTCAGGGATGTTTTTCAAGATTTGTAATGTATTTAATAATATAAATACAATAGCTCATATGAGCAAATTACTTATAATAGTCATTTTTCTGTCAGAAGGTTGTTTTACGTGATAGATAATATGTTCTTTTAAATATTTCTTAAATAATTTTCATAATTTTTTATTATAATGATGATATTATTGCTTTTGTGTTTGTTTTCATCTAAAAGCAAATGAGGCATTATTCTGTTGTTCGTTATTCTGGCACATTATTTTCACTATGCAAAGATCAACATAATTGAAATCAAAGTAAGCTCTGCGCGTATTTTCTTTTTTGCTTACTTGTTTCTTTATAAAAAGAAATATCATGGAGTTCATTATTCGCGTGACTGCCGTAGTAGCTGTGAAGAAGGCGTTTTAGAGGACCATCGCAGAATTTTTCTAAGCGATAGGTGAATTTTTCAATTTCTTCGATCTTTCAATCATGCCAACGACGAATAGGTTCGAAAGTCTGTCCCTACTACACCGAACCAGTAGTCACCCAGGGTCATCCTTTCAGTCATGTTCGCGTCCGCTGTGAGTCATCCGGATATTTCTGATTGCTCCATTGATATATATGACGTCAACATTTAGTTTACACTTGCAATTGTAAACTATAGTAAAGATTGCTATATTGAATTCTTGTCGGTAATTCATATTTCTCTTACTATGATATTCTACATTTTTTGGCTTAATAGATTAATGGATAACTATTAACATAATAAGCTACTGGATAAATTCTGAAATTGTAATAGTGGCACTGCTGGGTATAACTGTTACATCTATTTCTATAGTTAATTCTAACATGTAGAAAGATAATGCTATGAGCAATCGAATTTTCAATTAGTTTAAGCTAATTTTATCAGCTCTACCAAGTAAAAGTTCTAAAGTTTCTTTATATATGATGTCATATAAGCGATAGATGTTTTATTGATAGACACACGTTATAACAAAATTAGCAAATGTAAGGTATTAATTCTAGTTGCGACGTTCGCTTATACAATAGTTGAAACAATTAAAAGATCCATTCGACTAACGGTGTCGATGTTGTATAATATCGAGGGAAAAAAAATTTCTGAGAACTACTCGAATATTTCGGATGTAATATTTTGGCATTAATCCGATAAAATTGCAGGAAGTGCGTCGGATATCAACATTACATTGTTTCCGATGTTAGACATTATAGAAATATTAAATTGACTGCATAAATTAACGTTTTACTGTATATATATATATATATATATATATATAAAATATCTCGGATTGATTATGTGAGGTGTTAAACGAAAATATGTTTCTCTGTGAACAAAGGAATAAATCTTTATTTGTTAATTAAAATTTATTTGTTATTTACAATCTTATCTGTGAACAAAGAACCGACAATTTATGTTTACTATTTACACTGGTTAAATTTTATACTACACTCTCGTGCTACTTCTCTCGTCTACGTTCTATTTCCTACTGCCCGTTTCTCTTCCAAACCTTAACGACCTGATTTGTAGGTAACAAAAGAATTTGTAGATAACAAAAGACAATGGAAGGGCGGGCCATAAGAAGCGCGGCAAATCTACCTGAAGAAAGTATACTTTCTTTACATATATATATATGTATGTTGTGTGTGTGTAATATATATGTATATATATATATATATATATATAATATATTAAAACCCATTTATAAGAGAAGAATCTTGTCGAAGTTGTGGGCGAATTTATAACATTCATTCGTACTTTATCTTTCTTTCACAATTTCTTTTTCGAATGATCAAAAGAGCGCTTTGTAAAATTTTGAATATCGCTAATATAAATAAATATAAGTCCACCATTTAGCGTAATTGATATAATTGACCCTAAGGAAAATAATCCTAAACATTTTTTGATGATAGACTATAAAACTATCAGAAATTTTCTGATCTTTGGATCTTCTGATGTGAGCTTTATGAAAAGTTTAGCTTATTTAAAATTCATATCAAAGTATATTACCTACTTGTTAATTGCAGCAATCTAAAGATGAATTTTGAGTAACTTTCTTGTTTTCGATTGTTATTTCAATAACCATTACGTTTAAAAATCAATCAGCTGACAAGTGATTTTGACCAGAATGTGTTTGTGTTATTACTATGCTGTTTCTGATTAATATCCTTTTTCATGGTACCATTCGGTGTTCAATCATTATTTCGTCAAAGCGGTGATTCAATATTAGATTACATATATGTAATAGCTTCATCCTTTCAATTATCTGAAATGTGTGACTTAGTGCTTATTTTATTCAGTGTTTCTATTTGTCGCAATTCCGAGCTCGACTTTTGATATAAAACGTTACTTCTTACTTCATCGTTGATGTGTAAATCTTAGAATACTTTGTTGCAGTCTGTAAGCTGTCGTATCATTAGTTGCTGCTAAATTTGACTATCACAAGAGGCTCGCTTTTGTATAACATCCTTGTTGCTTGTTCCGTATTATTGAAGGCTCTTTTCTTTGATGGTCTAAATCCAGATTATTTGGTCTGAATCTTTTATTCCATTTCCATATTTTGTTTTCTTGCGGTTCCTTTTCAACGTCTTGTCAAAATGACTGTGAAATTCACAGTATTTTTCTACCTCATTTTCAAAATATACTTATGCATCAAAGGATTACATTATGCTCATGTAATTTTTGCGTATTAATTTTTACTTGTGCAATTCATGTTCGACAATTTGAGGATGATCTTCTAAATATTGAAAATTTTCTATTTTTTCTGTAATACAAAATGAGAAACTACCTTTGATGAAAAATCTCTTGTGAATGATCCTTTAACTCATTGTTCTTTCTCCATGATTTTGCTGTTAAGATTCGATTCTTCCTCTAAAATTTTCTAGGTTATACTTCCAGGTAGTTTACTTAATCTATTTCATTTTTTGACATCTATCTCTTATTTGTGAGGAACTTATACAATTACCTATCCTTTATTGTTTTGGATTTTCTCTTTTAATTCGTTTTCTATATAATTCACGTCCTTGACTGTAGATAATGCTTTCTTCAGTTCCTTCAAGAGTCTTCCTAATGTATTATTGTCTTTTCTCCCACCATCATTGGCAATGGTAGCATATTTAAGTACTATAAGATAAAATTCACATACGATTATAAACAATTTATATAAAATTTTGTAAGAATAATAAAATATTAGAGAGAGAATCTTTGAACTATTTGAGTTTGTATAAAAAATGCCATAAGATTGCCGGATGTTAATTACCAAATGGACATGAAATAACCAACAAAGTACAATGTACAAAGCAAAATATCATTTCAAAATAAATTTGTACGTGATAGAAAAAACCTATAGCAAGTGTTAAATTTTCATAAGTCAAATGCATATTCAACTACTTTAAAAAGTACTTCTGTTTCTCGAAGAGTGTACCACAATGCGCAATGATAGATTTGAATACATTTTGATTTCATTGCCACTCTTTTTATAATATATGAAATTGCGTAAATATAAGCAAAAGTAAAAAATGTCTGCAACATTTAAATTTGGTTATGATTCAAGAGCGCAAAGAAAAAACTATCGTCTATCTCTATTAGAAATATATAGTATGTACATACTTGTACAATATATATGCATGCCAACATAAGTAATGGTCACAGAAGCATTCCCAAAATATTCCTTATAGAAACATTTCCTTTACTTTATACTATTTTAGTCAATACATTGATGTATTATGGTATCTTTTTGGGATCCAAATATTTAACATTACTATGATCAGAGTACTCTACAAATAAATAATATAATGAATGTAGTGATAGAATATGTAATGATGGATCTATGCACAGGTGATAGAAACGATGGCATGGGTCTTGTAAAAAATTGCCCACACGCAATTAACTAAGTTTATGTTACATAATAAATTTAGGTAAATATCTGTCGGTCGATAAATAAATTTTATATTTATATTTGTTTCTATGTTCCAGTAAGAGTATTTTTTGCCACATAATTTGTATAAACAGTTAAAGGAAGAAAATTTTATTAAACTAAAATTAATTTACCTTAATACGAGCAAATTTTATGTCACAAGTCGATTGAAGGCTACATCAACCTACAGTTATAAATACTTATTATTAATATTTTCATACCTACTGACAAAGAAATCAATAACAGTGGATATAAATATTCCAAAATGTCTATCCATTGCGATTACGGCCTATCACTATTTTTTGTTGTTTTATATCGCGTATCGGTTTCGTAGTAAATAAACAGAATACAGGTTCGTGCACATGCGTGCTCACCATAGAATGAAAATTTATAGCCTACTTCGTTTCTTCTACGTTTTACAAATAGTTCTACAAAAAAGGCATCGAAAAGTTAGAAAAGCGTTGGAATGAATATATCACTCTTGAAGGAAAGTATGTTGACGAATAAAATTGAATTTCTAAAAAAAAATTGATTTTCCTAGGTAGAGTCTGCTCTAGTCTCCGAACTTATTGAGTGATGATCGTTACGATGATATATTTATACATAGAGTAACATTATATTTTGTACGTAATTCAATATTCTCTCCTACGATATTTTTGCCAGAATCTTTCGGCGGTGAATAAAATTATTTTGATATTAAATCTAATCTCCGTTCACTTACTTAATTTGAGAAAACGAGGCGATTTGATCAATGGACAGAGACCTGCGAGCAATCAACTCGGGCTCGAAAGAAAATGAAAACACGCAATCGATCGATCCTACCAAATACCCAATATCCCTTCGCATTCGTATTAAATAATATTGTCATATTTCTTGCTAGAGTTCAATCATGGCGTTAATATGGAAGGGACGCATCGCCGTGCGCTCCGCGTTTCGTGCGGTTTTTAGTAGTTTATTCCATTCTATCGGCCGAAAATTTATATCTCGTTTGTAAATTAGTAAGCAGTGAACAAATGGTGATAATAATCATAACTAGAGATCGAACATTTATCGAGTTATTTGTGATAATGTGTTCGGTTTTATTGTCGAGGTTTTGGCCGCCATTCTGGATGTTGCCGGTGCTGCCATCTAGGACGTGTTAGTTGTGCGAACTATACTCTATGGCTAGACGGCAGACTCGACTGCCCACTGAGGACTCATGTAGCGCTATCTACTCTAGATTACAATGGCAGCGCCGCTGTCTGCGCAAGTGGCATCTACTAATACGACTAATAATGCGCCGCCCTTTGTGGTTAGCTTATGGAGTCGACGACCATGATCTATGTGGTAGTGATATGAACTATACCTAATTTTTCGCACCACGGGCGCACGGGTGTCGCCCATATTGGCAGCAATAGTAATCGTGGTTAGCGAGTTCTACACAATGCACGGCTATACTTAACATTATATCGTCCGCAGTTTATGAAATACTTATCTTCATCGCATCAGAGGCGCTTTAATCAGCAGGAAATAAAATTAAAGATTCCTCCTGCATCGTCTCACTCTACTTTCAATACAGCGACAAAATAGACGAGCACCTTAGGTACTTGGAATCGGTACTTCAATCTCTAAGGGGGAAGAGATTAAATGTATCGCCGGACGCCAACGTCCCCTCTGGGGCCTTCAGGGCACGTATGAAAGAGGCTCGAAGTTGAAAGCCCTCATCAGGAATGAGTTTTAAATAGCGCAGAGCCACCAGCCCAAACTTTTTAGACGATGATTCCTCATACATCGATGTGATTCACTTGTCTCAATCTATGACCCAAATCATCGGTCATTGGAAGATTAGAACAGACAGGACGTTTAGCGATCATAATTCAATAGATATAACATCACTTGCCTCGATGGCTGAGCGGTTGGGGGACGCTGGGTCGCGGGAAACTGAAGGTTCAACACCAGAAGAGCCGACTGGTTCTTCGAGTGCACTTTCTCCCTTGCCACAGCAAAGCCAGAGGGAAGAAGTTTAGGATCGGCTTCAGAAGTGGAGACACGGGTCAAAGTGCTCACAAATATTCTTGAAGCAGCATGCTCCAAATCGTGGCCTCGCAAAATGGTTCTCCGAAAATCCAATCCGTGGTGGACATTACAGTTAATGAATCGAAAAAAGGAGTAGTTATATTAAGCCGCGCGTTCCAATGGGAAAAATTATCAGGCACGTCTTAATTTAATGAAGAAATATTGCTCTTATGGGATGACAGCAAAATGTTACGATGGGTCAAATTAAACAGCTGGAGAAAATTCGTCTCGGAATAAGGTAAAGCGAAACTGTGGGGAGATATATATATATAAGCAACAGGCGAACAAACTTCAAGTTGAAAGTAACACTCATAAACACTCTCAAACAGGACGGTAAGAAGACCATGAATGTGCTAGATACGGCTAGAGTTCTCTTAAATACGCTGGTACTGGACGACTGCGTATCCGAAGATGCAACCAAACATATAGCGATAAGAATTTCTTCGAGTAACGCTCTCGAAACAGTGGATACGCCTCTTTTCACGGAGGAAGAGGTCGCGCGTGTGGTAAAGTTTCTTAAGAACGATAAAGCTCTGAACTCGGATCCGATCAAAGTGTATGCTCGAAAAGCATTCGCTGTTATTCCGACTCACTACGTGGATCTCTTTAACGGATGCCTCCGAAGGCGCATTCCCTTCTATTTGGAAAAAGGGCACCTTAAGAGCACTCTTGAGGGTTGACGATAAATACGTGGAAGATTTATATATACCGACCGATGTGTCTTCTCTTCGTAATAGGGAAGATTTTGGAAAAGCTGTTGAAGTTGCGCTTTCCCGAAACCTCCGCAGGGTAAAATCTCGGACAAACAATTTGACTTTGTCCAGGAACGCTCAAAGGAAGATGCAATCGTGGAGATGCGTCGAATTGTTTCTGCCTCCTCACGGAGATATGTCGTTGCACTGTTGTTCGATATCTTGGGAGCTATTGATAATGTATGGTGACCTCTAGTCTTCAAGGCATTCAAAGATCGAGACTGTCCGAAAAATGACTCTAACGTGATGACAAGCTACTTCGCGGATCATAAGGTTAAAATCACTTTGGGATTCCCTTAAGGATCGGTCTTTGGTCCTTCCATGTTCGACCAATCTCATGTTCGACCAGCTACTTAGGATACTAGAGCAATCCTCAGAAGTCAACGCGATTGCGTACGCGGTCGATCTACTCATTATTGTAAATGGAGATTCGAGAAAAAAACTTGAAGAGAAAGGGAATCGCGCGGTAGATAGCATCACCAGATGGCGCTCGTCAGCGAAATTGTTTATCTTTGAGCGTAAGTCGGAAACGATTGTCCCTAAAAACGACTGGATAAAAAGAAAACCCATCGGTAGAAGGAGAGGACAACGTTCGAATAGGAAACGGATGAGAGCGAAAAAAACAGACAAAGGTATTAGGTCTCCTACTATAATAATAGGTACTAACAGCATTAAATTTATGAATCCCATAAGATATCTCGGCGTACATTTTAAAAAGGATTGGAAATCACGACAACTGCCGTTACCTTAACGATAAGGTCTCCCCACTGTTCGTAAAGCCAGCTAGATTAGCTACTATGGGGACTTCGTCCCTGCGCACTTTAAACGGTTTATCGCGGTGTGTTTATCCCTACGGTTTCGTACGCCGCAGCAAGATATTCCGATCTTTGCACGGAGGGAGATTTTAGGAAGTTAAGCACCACTTAACAGTCGGCCCACATCCGTGTATCGCACAACCGCAACGGAATCTCTGCGTCGTATTCTTTATAATATATTGTCTCTATCTACTAATCGTTTTTACGTGCACCTAGAGGATTCTCAAACATTTTTGATTCTTTTTCAGAACAATCATTTATAGCAGACACTTATAAGTTAACATTAAGACTAGTTTATTGGAAAACCATGAGCCGCAACCAGCGCAGATTGCAAGCTTACATCATGCAAATAGCTGCAAATGCAAGAAGTTGGTACGATGAGACGGAAGCGGAGCAGCGACCCCTGCGCCCAGAATTCAAACCGCAGCGTGAAAAACAATGCCTAGGAGTAGTCAATTCAAAAAGGGAACACCTCTTGTACCAGCGATTCCTCCTCCAATCATAGATCCAACCGAAGTGCGAGCACCACAGGTAAGGCGAAACATCATCATTGTGAAAGCAACCAAGAAAACCTGGTTTTGTACCACTCTACGCAGAAGGCCCGTTTTGTGGCACAACACCCACGCTGCATATTTACAGTCACAATCTTGATTATTCAACGTTTCCATTATTATGTGAAAGTATATATGGGGATCTCGAGTTTGACAATCCATGCCTCAAAAGGGAGGTACCGTTTTGTGCCTTAATAGACGTATATACCTGCGCGTTGGATGCAATGCTAATTGACCATGTAAGGACTGTTAATGCGGAAAACCGCTATGCCGACGAAGAGTCGTCCTTAAATCTAATTCCTGATGATTTTACTCTACCAGGACCAATAGCAGAGTATCTGAAGTGCACTGCTAACACCGTGACACCGACCGGAAATCTTGTCCACGTCAACCAGCCTAATGCGCGTACTGCGCGAGCCTGATTGGCAGATGCGGGCGTACCGCAACTGCCTATTGAAGAGGCTGGCGTTCAGGACGCCATCGAATCAGGATTCAGCCGGATTATCGCTGAAAACCATAATGCATATAAATGTTACGTTTCCTCCTACGTAACATCACGTTTAGTCGAAGAGACCTAACGGCAAAACGAATCACGTCAGTTCGAGCATTGGAATCCCTTGCCCCGAGGCGCATATCCCGAAGGCTGTCAACCAACGTTTAATCAACTGGTTTATTATGAACGAA